ACCTTTCCCCAGTGTCCCTATCGACTCCTGTATCTTTGACGTTACCTGTGATGTTGACACCTTTCCCCAGTGTCCCTGTCGACTCCTTTATCTGTGACGTTACCTGTGATGTTGACACCTTTCCCCAGTGTCCCTGTCGACTCCTGTATCTGTGACGTTACCTGTGATGTTGACACCTTCCCCCAGTGTCCCTGTCGACTCCTGTATCTGTGACGTTACCTGTGACGTTGACACCTTTCCCCAGTGTCCCTGTCGACTCCTTTATCTGTGACGTTACCTGGGATGTTGATGTTGTCACCTTTCCCACCTGTGATGTTAGTGTACTTACGTGGTACTGTCAGTTTTTCACCATCTTTAGGAAGCTAATTATATCGATGGAGAGATATGTACAGAGATTGGGGACTATCGCAGGTATTCATAATTCAACGAGCGGGTCCTTTGATACTCAACTTTAACAATTTGATAATTCCGAATCGGGTGGATGGTTGTTGTTTGAAAACTATTTCCACTTTCATCCCGGGTACACGGCCATCAATTTTTAAGTGCCTCCATAGAAAACCTATTTATGTCTAACTTGTGTATAGGGAAAACGAAACTGGTTCCATTTCATGTAGTCATGCTGCCTGGGTAGAGTTAATAGGTAACCTAAAGATGAAAGGCTGGTTATGGGAATTTCACCAATACTTGTACGACAGTAATGAACATAAAAGCCTTTCACCTCTCCCGGGAGACACTTGTCCAGTAATATCACCTGATCTATCTACACCGTTCTTACCTACCCGTCAACAGGACCCATTTCGAAAATTTATTTCTTGTAAATCACAGTTTTTTTTGTAAAGGTATGCTCTAAATATTGTAATGTAAATGTCTTCAATTTTGTTTACTCATCTAGGTATTTTCAATTAAGTATAAAATATTGATGTTATGGACCTAATATAAATATATACTTACCCCTTGGCTAGGAAAAAACAACATTGATTGTATACGTCTAGGCGTTTACTTTGCATCTCTATACAAACAGTATACAATTCGATCGTGTAGGTGTGTTTTTGTGGGCGACCTTTTACCGCGACAGGTAAATATCCCTATATAATTAACATATATACAGCTACCGACTACTAATGGAATCATGATCAGGTCCTAAAGCTGATATAGAAAATAGATATAAACCTTTGACAAAAAAATCATTAAAACATGCTGAACTTTGAAAAATAAAAAATATCATTTTTAAAACGGTATTAGAATATGTTTAAAGCCTAGATAGCATTTAAAATATAACATGTCTTTTAATTTGAATGTTTAATTTGATGTACGTTCATGTTAGAAAAGCATGAATTTGTCTTAATGAAGCCGATTGTGATTGATGCAGCTATGTCAAAAAGACGCTTATTTCTTAAATGATAACCGCAGTTTCGGAATGTATTTCAAAACTATCGTCAATGTTAATAATGTCACTCTGGCTGTGATATATTGCGCCCGGTAGTGGAGCATTGCGTAAACAAATTGCCCACAGGCAGTGAAACACTTGTTATGAATGCTAATGACGTCGTCTTTTTTCATTTTGTTCTCGCTTGAACAGTTTGACGAATGAACTGATAAAATTAGACAAACATTTGGCATGTGTGTACATATTATTAAAAACTAATTCGATCCGGATCATTTATCTGTCCAGACACGGGATGTTGTGTATCAGGGGTACACGGGATATCATGAATCGGTGTGTACTGCCTTCATACAGCGTTAGTGACGTCACCATTGACTGGACCGTGGCGTGTAGATTAGTTAAAAAAAAAGAGATTATTTACACGTTGATAGAGTGTGGCAGTGGAACACGCCCCAGTCTGTGTATATGTAGTACACACTCGGGCGCGTTCGGCTGGAACTATAAGTGATGTTCACTCGCTCCCGTGAAAACTAGCACCTGTTAGAGACACATTCCGACACCTTCCTGTGGAACAAGGTCTCTACGATCACTGAACATGTGTAAAATCGAGAAACGTACCGTGAAAACTTACTCAGCGAATCACATTCGTAAGATTAATTAGTGCAAAATGTGATGTCTATCTTAGACTCGAAACTGGTTTAACAAAATATGTTAACACACATGAAACATATTTCGCATTAAACAATACATTTGATACATTTTACTCTATTATTAGATTATAGAATTATATTTATTACATTTGGATTTGAATACTCAGGGCATTAAGTGTGTCATGGATATATGAACTCAATTAAAATTAATTTTATACCTCATGATGCAAATATTTGGAAAAACTTTGAATGAGAAAATCAGTCGATACTACAACATTTATTCAAACGATTTCATTTAAGATAGAGCTCCCAAACATGAGGTTTGTGTGAATTTTTATCTCGCAGTTATTATTTACAGAATATATAAATGAGCGTTTTAGGACGGTATATTCAAAGGCGATATTTAAAAAAATATATATTTTCAAATATCACGTGTGACCCTTTACCACAACCTAAGATTTGTGGCTAGTGTCGGAAGTGACATCCGGTACATAAGTGACAGTCCCAACCCCTCCCTGCCCGACCCCTCGCGTGACTGGCCCCTATGTGCAATATTAGCCGCTCCACAAACCCGATTCTATCATCAATATTTATGGGCTAAAGTCTGTTCTATCGTATCACTTCTATCAATAATGCACCATATCGGTGTTTCAAGAAAATTGTTAGCGATCACCAATCAATGTGGCTGTTTGTTTGTCTCATATTTATGGGTTGTTTTTCGCTGATGGGACAGGCATCAACCTCTCTGTCCGGTTACCTGATGACAGAAGCTTCCTCCCCGAGGTCTATTATAGTAGTAATAAACGGATAATAAATAACAATTCCCACTTTATACAAGGAATTGTATTCGAACACATGATATGCTAAAAATGTCAATGTATTTATTGATATAAACAAATCACAATTTGATGGTTATGGAATTGGCCTTCTACTTTAAAAGTAATATTAAATAGTATAAAGATAAAAAAAATGTTTATGTATATCCGGTTTATTTCCTTTATTAATCTGCTTAGTTTAAAATTTTACTTCGATGTCTCTAACACATCTAATAGTTGTTTTAGCAATTTCGAATGTGAACACCTAGTGTATTTATATTGAAATGCATTGGTGTAGCAAAGCCCAGTTTGATAATATTATTATACACAACTATTTTCTTTTTGATACTTAAGTACAGATTAAAAATCGAAATTCTTTATTTGCTATAGATAAACTGTTAAGTTACCCAAGGCCGCAGTCTACTGACAGTTGTAGTTGTATTGCAGCGAGCCTGATGTGGCAGGACACATGGGCGTTACCATAGGCGGAGCTGTGTTTGCGCGGTGGGCGGAGCTCAAACACACATGGCTCCGCCCATCACAAAATGATCAAGTCATAACATGGATGAACGATCCTGACATGTTGACGAGGGTTCATTCATCGTACACGTTTTCATTACACAGTAATACACACTATACTGAACGTCGACAAACATCCGCATTTATCTCTGTCTTTTACTGAACACAGTAGATACTACTCACAGTGTCCAACACATTTACAGGAAAAACGTAATGAAAACATGTAATTTAATGTTCGCCCTGGTTTTATGTCACCGTGTATAATAAAAGTGTGTGTATTAGCAATTAATTTATGTTAAATAAAATAGTGTTTTACAAATGTTTATAAAATAGAATCGCTAATCAAATTTGTAGTTTACACATATTTTACTTCTGGTCATGTATGTTCGTTGAAGTAAAGCATGTTTTGTGTTATTCCTTTGAATAACTGCTACACAAATTAATAACTTGCTTGCAAATAACTGATTCATTGTATGTATATGTTACTAAATACTCTTAAGTAAAAAAGGTTTTCTATGTTATAATAAATGGATTGGTATCCATTTCTGTATTGAATAGCCTATATGTTAATATGTACAGCCTATATAAAGATGTAGATAATATGTGTACGCGACACTTTCCCACACTGATTATGCTATAACCATTATGTTTGCTATTTCTATCTACAGTGGAAATCTTTTTAGACGATGGAAATGGTACGTTCTTTTTATCACTTTCTATGTTATTGGTTGAGAGATGAACCTGCTCCGGGGGGCTCCCTAGGGAGTCAGTGCATGTCTTATCCTTCACTGTTGTCCGACTCGTTCGTGTTGTAACCTCTACTAACAGACACTTCTACTTTCGTTTTCACTACACTAATCATTAGATGTGTTGAACTTAATAACCATGATTAACATCTGAGTTACGTTACAGGGTTGGATTACATTGTGTATTACATTGTATTTAAAATGTTAATAATATTATATGAAAACTATAAATGCAGACTTCAGGTAGTATTACATTGTGTGAGAGTTACTCATGTATAGGACTTGTAAGGTAGTGTTACATTGTGTGAGAGTTACTCATGTATAGGACTTGTAAGGTAGTGTTACATTGTGTGAGAGTTACTCATGTATAGGACTTGTAAGGTAGTGTTACATTGTGTGAGAGTTACTCATGTATAGGACTTGTAAGGTAGTGTTACATTGTGTGAGAGTTACTCATGTATAGGACTTGTAAGGTAGTGTTACATTGTGTGAGAGTTACTCATGTATAGGACTTGTAAGGTAGTGTTACATTGTGTGAGAGTTACTCATGTATAGGACTTGTAAGGTAGTGTTACATTGTGTGAGAGTTACTCATGTATAGGACTTGTAAGGTAGTGTTACATTGTGTGAGAGTTACTCATGTATAGGACTTGTAAGGTAGTGTTACATTGTTTGGAAGCTATTATATAGGGGTTCGTTATGTAGTATTATATTTGCGACCCAATGCGTATGAAACTCCTTTAAGTAGTATTACATTGTATACCAACTATACCAACAGGAATTCATTAAGTAGTGTTGTATGAGAACTACATATTAATTATAGAAGTCTTCAATTAAGAGGGACATTATTATATAGTATTGCAATGGGTGGAAAAAATTCAGTAGAACTTTATAAAATAATACCTTGTGTATTATAACATTTATAAAACAAACGCGTAAGATTTTTTTATAAACAATTTAACAATAAAGTATAGTATGTGCTGCATTTTAAATAATAAGAAATATGCATGTTAAATTAACAATATAAATATGAAGGATAAACAATATACATTATAGTATTTATGGTAAATAAATGTTTATATAAACAACATAAAAAAAATATAAACATGTATATTAATTAAGATATGTATACGTAGGATTA